GCGAGTGAGATCGAACTTTTATATTAAACAATTTTTATATTTATATACATATTTATTTTGCGTTTTTAATTTTATAATATAATAGTTTGTACATCGTTAACGATTTTGCGTTTTTTAACATTGAAAATGACCTAATGAAGGTTGAAACGTTTGTTTTTGAATTTTATTAAATTTTATATTTATTTTTAACTAATAACTGTTTATTACTAAGACCTTTGGATTTTAACTAATATTTGGCTCGTAGCCCTATTTTATATTAATTATTGTATATAATTTTGCACGTACAGGTTTTATTTATTTTAGAAATGAGATAAATATTTGCAAAATTCGAAATTTTCGAAAAAATCGAAATTCTTAATTTTAAATTCCAATATTTGTAGGACCGTTAGTATTCAAACAATGATTGAATAAAGACCGAATGACGGTCAAGCAAGATTTAGGTTGCTACAGTAATGTGTGAATTTTATTTACCACGTATGTAGTCTTCTTTAATCGCGCGCCGAAATATTTTCAGACTTTTTACAAACGCAACTCTAAATAACTACCGTAATAATATCACTAGTTAAATTGACGTGCCTGAAAAAATACGTTATTAATTACTTAAAATACGGAAGCATTGTGAAGGATATCACCACGTCGATCAGCCTATAGAGGTCTATAGTTACGCTTGCCTTTCTCGCAAGTGCTAAGATACACAAGTATCCGTTCATATAGAACTTCTTTCTAATATCTCCCCCAGGCTTCTAAGGTAGGTTTCCATTACAATACCTTACTGATGAGTCTAGTAGTGGAAACCGGGACGAAACGCCAACTTGTGATATTCTTCGCGATCTTATTTTTCACAGAATTTGATTTATTATTAATTTAATTTACATTAATTAATAACAAACCGTTAAAATTTAATATATGTCTTTCAACTTATTATTAAGATCCAATAAGATGCTATAAGCATCAAATATTATTAGATTGCGTGTCAATTTAACTAGTGATATTACTACGGTAGTTATTTAGAGTTGCGTTTGTAAAAAGTCTGAAAATATTTCGGTGCGCGATTAAAGAAGTCTACATACGTGGTAAATAAAATTCACACATTACTGTAGCAACCTAAATCTTGCTTGACCGTCATTCGGCCTTTATTCAATCGTTGTTTAATTTTAAACATTAAATAGATTTTACATATTTAAACAAATATAATATTTACTATAAATATTACATTACTACTAAATTTGACTTTATAAGCTTATATTTGTCTTATAATAAATATGTATACATATAAAGAGAAATATATAATATATATAGAGAGAGAGAGTTATATACATATATATAAACTACTTTTCTTTAGATTTATCAAATTAGATTAAACACTCTTAATATATATTAATGCATGTAAATAAACATGGATTTATATGGTTCCGAATAGAGAAAAAAATATTCATAACTGATTGTAATGAAAAATTCATGCATATATAGATTGATAATCATACATGGTTAATCCTAGCTTCCAAGTTACGACTATTATCGCTTTGATGACAATGTCTACTGGTACCACGTTATCATTGCTAGATTTACAGCCGTAAATTACTTGTATTAATCCCTTTCCAATACCAATGGAAAATCCTACTGGACCATAAAAATTATCTATCCATCCTGGCATTGGATCTTTGTATGTTGGTGTTACTAAAATATGAAAACTCGTTAATCTATTATTATATTATAATAAGTTTGATTACTTTCATTATATTAGATTAATATGTACTAAAAATTAGTGTACATGTATGAAATTAAGAAAGATACACGTAAAATTATATAAACAATTTATATGATTAATTAAGCTTGCCTACCAATGCTCGAAATCAGATAGAAAAAGACGCTTCAAATACAAATATTTTTTTTTTGTATACTTTAATTTCTCGTAAGAAACATTAAAAATGTTAATTCATATAAGAATAAATAAGAAGATTTGTAAAAGACATAAAAATTTATATCATTTTTACATACAACAATTTTAAATACAACACAAACATAAATACGAAATGTATATATACTTTAAAACATATTTAAACTTTCAAAAATGTATATACTATATACTTATAATACATATTTATATATATGCATGTCTTCTTTTCTTTTCATTTTTAAAATTATGTTACAATCTCTACAAAAATTATACTTCTTTAATATAACTATTTTTTCAGACGATATAAAACAAAATAATTATGGTACAAATACTTGGACAAATATAAGAATTTTTTTACGATCGTACAATTGATAAACAATAATAAGAAGAAAAGAAGCAACGAAGCAATGCCATTAACGGTCAAAGCTAGATCACAATTCTTATTATGATGTGTGAATTTATATACCGCGTACGTAGTTCAAATATTTGGTACATATTCCAAAACAACACACTAAAACTTTATTTCTAATAATTAAAAGAGAGACTATATACGTACTAATGGAAGGTCTCACAATCGCGCAAGGCAAAGAGGAAGAATATTCCTGTATTACACTTTCCGCTAAATTTTTTGAAAAAGTATACGTATTGGGAAAGCAATCTAGACATCTATACATAATTTTAAATATAATCAACATTAAAAATATGATTATGATTAATTAAGCTTGCCTACCAATGCTCGAAATCAGATAGAAAAAGACGCTTCAAATACAATATTCTTTGTTATACTTTAATTTCTCGTAAGAAACATTAAAAATGTTAATTCATATAAGAATAAGTAAGAAGATTTGTAAAAGACATAAAAATTTATATCATTTTTACAAACAACAATTTTAAATACAACATAAACATAAATACGAAATGTATATATACTTTAAAATATATTTAAACTTTCAAAAATGTATATATACTTATAATACATAGGTATATATATGCATGTTTTCTTTTCTTTTCATTTTTAAAGTTATGTTACTATCTCTACAAAAATTATACTCTTTTAATATAACTATTTTCAGACGATATAAAACAAAATAGTTATGGTACAAATACTTGGACAAATATAAGAATTTTTTTACGATCGTACAATTAATAAACAATAATAAGAAGAAAGAAGCAACGAAGCAAAGCCATTAACGGTCAAAGCTAGATCACAATGCTTATTATAATGTGTGAATTTATATACCGCGTATGTAGTTCAAATATTTGGTACATATTCCAAAACAACACACTAAAACTTTATTTTTAATAATTAAAAGAGAGACTATATACGTACTAATGGAAGGTCTCACAATCGCGCAAGGCAAAGAGGAAGAATATTCCTGTATTACACTTTCCGCTAAATTTTTTGAAAAAGTATACGTATTGGGAAAGCCATCTAGACATCTATACATAATTTTAAATATAGTAAACATTAAAAATATCAATGTATAATATATCATTTATAACGCAAAAAAATAACCTCAATAAAAGTTTTTAGAAAACAAAAAGATTCTGTTAAGGCGATCCTTAAGACAATTAATCATATTGGAAATAGCATTTACACACAGACGATTACGTGTCATATTGACACAACACTACATCAATATCTTAATCACGCACGCCACACATATACGTAGATTTTTGTATCGTAATTATGTTTTAATTAGACATCTAAATCTAATTTAGTCGGAAATACAGGAGGCTTCAGGATCCCCTTAATATCTAACTATATATTTACAAAATTTGTGATGGTGGTTTCTGTTTGTAACTTACTTAGTTGTAAAAATATTTAAAGTATGCTCATCCAAAATTTCTGCCATTTCGATTATCTTTTGCCAGTCAGCTATAGGTGGATATGCTCTTTCTTCAATAAATGGTTCATGTACATGTGTAAACGCTGTACTAATATACACCAATGCCTTAAACACATAATATCAATTCACATGAAAACACATTTACATTTTCTCAAAATATTCTTTTTTATAAATAAGTTTGTATAATGATAAGAGATAATCAGTTTATCTACATTCTACATTATAAATGTCGTTACATTATAGAATTTTAATTATCTACATTTATCTCAACTTATTTTATTTAAACTGTTATTGAGATTAAAAATGTGATCATATATCTGGAGACACGGTAGTGTCTCGGTGCTAAGCCAAGCGCGCGACACTGCCGTGCCTGCTTTACGCGAATCTGAGATTGCTGTAATATAAAATCATGCAATACAATCAATTTTTCATGAATACATAAGCACAATCACTGCTATTCTCTTTTCGACTTACAATTAAATTCTTCATATTTTGGGCTAAAATACAAATGTCTCTTGTTGCTCTGATATTGCCAAATATGGCACGTTTTATACTATCATGCATTTTCATATTAGCCGCTGAATGAATTATTATAGTCACTCTTTCAATCAGCATTTGTCTGTCTGCAACCGATAAACCTAATTCTTTTTCTCTGACATCGCCAGAAATTGGAATTAATTTCTCAAAATTTGCAGGTTGCTCTTTGCGTAATTTATTATATAACTAAAATAAAAGGATATTTTAATTCAAGAAAACATTTTTCTTATAACATTTATGAATCCTAAAATATATTTAATAAATCTACATCAAATACAGATAAACATATAATAACGTTAGCAGAAATTTTACTTCGCATTCTAGTACGTTCTCTCTCTCTAATACAAAAAATATATATTTATAAAACTTTATATTATAATGTAACACTTTCTTTAATAATGATGCGCGGGGTTCCATATAAACCATTCCCAACTTAAATCAAAGAATTTTTTTCATTGAACATTTAAATTTAATAATAGAATATTTTTATGTTATTCAAAAAGTAGCAGTTTTGCGGTGTGCGTTGTTAAAAATACGACATAGAGCGCCACTTGTATAAAGGCCGACACAATATATTCGTAATAGTCAATATTAGATATATATAAATATGTATTTATCCAATATTTTAAAAATATTTTTCTATTGACATAATAATAATCGTAACAATTACCCCATTCCAAATATTTCACTATTTATATTTTACGTTGCTGAACCAAACAATGTCACGTAAATATCTAATGTTTGTGCGATGTTTATCAAATAGACTGCTCTGTGAGATGTTATTGTAGAATGACCTTAACTGTATTTAACTTACCGGTAAATTTAGCATTTTTTTAAGCCTTTCTTCAACATTTAATCCTTTTTTCGGTCGCATTAATAGAAATATTTCACAAACATCTGGACAAGATCGTAATACCTTTTCGATAAAAACTTTACCTAGAAATCCTGTTGCACCTGTCAAAAATATACTCTGTCCAGCGTAAAATGCAGATATAGACTTTGCTGGATCAATAGTCATTCTGTCAATTATCTTTAAAATCACGTTAATACAAACGTTAATACAACTATTTGCAATAGTATGAAATACGTAGATATTAAAAAATTCGAAATGATTCTTTGATTGTCACATTTGTTACGTCGATAAAAAATGTTTTTGCAGTTTAAATAAACTTGTATGTACTATCGATTGCCTTGAAAATTATTGTTCTTTTATAGCCGTAAGTTAGTCATATCAGTGCTTCATACAATAAATCGGAAATGATTCCAATTTAGCATATGTTAAAAGTTCAAGTATATGTCAGTGCATTCCTTCTTAACACAATGATATAAAAATGAAAATTAATATTTCATATTTTATTATATTATTCGTTAACTATAATCTTTTACTGCATTTAACCTTTCTGTTAATGTATTACTTTATCATATTTCCATTGTTCTTATTATTAAAAATGTGAAAATAAAAATGAGACAATATTTGTGCAAAACCGTTATTTGCTGTGCAAAATATGGAGATTTGATACTAAGGAGATCAACATAAACAAACTCGAACACAATTATTAAAAAATAATAAAATTTTTGGAATAATTTACATATAGAAGTTTTTCATATAATTAGCATTATATTTATTATCTTTGGTTTAATATGGCTATTTTACTTGACATTTAAATAAAATAATTAACAAGTATTTGATAAATACTTTATGATGTATGTAACTTGCAACTATAACGCATTAGAATATATTAAATATAATTATTCTATTCATAACTAATATAATTATTTTCTAAGAGATAAACATCAATATTGTTTATCTCTTAGAACAAATAAAATAAATTTTGATAAAATGAATTTTGTGTATGTTTAATTTGACACATACATAATATATATTACATATTATTATATTAATGTAATTATAGAAGTTAAAAAGAGTACACTAAAACCAAAACTAAAACATGACTATGTAAATTTAATTGCATATTTTTCAAAATTGTTTTGTATTTATAAAAATTTCAGTAATCGGATTGTATTCATAATTACTGCATAAATAATGTTATATCCATCCGGTTAGATATTTGCAAATCAATATGATTTGATTATATTGTAGGAGGAATTTAACCTTCTTATCATCGCACAAGTGTGAATCAATTCCAATGTGTTTCTGTTTGCTGAATACGAATTCAAACACATTGGCAACAATTAATTATTACGTTAAAATTATGAGAAAAGAAGTGTCAAAAACAATTATATATTTTGCCCTTTAATCGCTATTAAAAAATTTTGACATGATTACCAACTTTTACCAATAAATGTTCAGTTGATAAAAATACGAAGTAAGAAATGACAGTTTACACGACATACAATGTGAAGTTCTTAGAATTAGACATTTAATTAATGTGGTACCTATACTAGCTCAACAATACCATCCAAAAGATAGATTCCATTGCAAGCCCACTCCCTCCATTGAAAGAAAATCTTCGGTTATGAGTGTCCATCTCTAAGACCTTTGTATATGATACACACATCCTAACGTAATAAACATGTAGTAATGTTGCATTTAGTTACACTGCTATATATTTCTAACCTCAGTATGAACTTAAAACTTTGAGGCTGTGATAGCAAATACTATTTTATGCAAATTTAAAACGCTACTGTTCTAAAAAAAATTTATGTATATGCATGCATGCGAAAATTATAAAGCAATGTGAAATGACCATTTTTCGAAATTGAAGATTTTAACGTTGCGATAACAACAAATCAATATGTTATTAAAGATATAATAGCTTATAAGGTAATATAAATTTTATTTATAATGTTGGCTAATTAAATAGCCTGAAATTTGCGTGCCTAATTATAACATATTATATAATAGTGAAGGTATTTTGAAACTGCATTAATAACTTGTATTCTCTACAAATTCTACATTAATAGATGCTTTCCAACAAGCAACACAGATGACACGGTGTGACACAGTATATCAGTACATCCTTGTTGTTCGCCAATGTTAAACAAGGATGAGATGATCACTGTGTTCTACTATGTCTCTTGTTGGAAGGCATACAATATATGTAATTATTAGAGCCAGGATGAAAGTTCTGAGATCGCGTTGATCGTAGCTAGCTCTCCCTACTTTCAATTCGCCCGACGCGCGGTGTAGTATCGATAGTGGGGAATTAGACAAAGAGGAAACGCGGTGTGGGCAATCACTCGCTGTTTCTAATACTCCTATTGGCTGCTTTTATTACCGCCCAATGGATGTTGTAATGTATCGCTAGATACATTACCGCAAAATAATTGCAAATTTTAATTGCAATTATTTTAAAAATTAGACGGTCGATATGTTACTCATTACACAAATACATATAATGCACTTCAACGTACTTGTATTTAAAATTTTAATTTATTTGTAAGAAAATCATTTTATGCGTGTACTACCTTAATATCTAACTATTATATGTATTTACAAAAATTGTAATCGTAATTTCTATTTGTAACTTACTTATGCTGTGAAAATATTTAATGTATGTTCATCTAATGTCTCGACTATTTTGATTTATTTACCCAGAAATCCTATTGCACCTGTCAAAAGTATACTTTATCCAGCATAAAATGCAGGAATCGATTTGGTTGGATCAACATTCATCTTTGATAGAGAAGTGTGTATATAATATGTACTTCTCGAATAAATGCTTATATCTACAAATCCGCAGAAATTAAATAGATACTTTTCTATAACCGTCAGATAATGAAATCTGCATGCTTTAATAAATCGGAAATGATTATGGTTTTGCAAACGTTGAAAGGTCAAGCATATGCCCAACATACTTCAATTTTTAATATTACAATGATGAATAATAAAAATATGATGTACTATTTTATATTATGTTATATGTTTACTATATTAGCATTTTACTATATTTAATAGTATTTTATTATTTACTGTATTTTACTATATTCTCATTATTTAAACATCATCATTAAGATCATTAGATCTCATTATTTAAACTTTCTGCATGCAAAAATTTTTTTTTTTCATTACTTTGTTCTTCACGTTAAAAATAAGAAAGAGAAAACAAAATTACGTGAGATTGTTTTTTTATTATCCGAAGTACGCCGCGGAGATTTTATGCGACATAACACGAAACTCACACACAATTATTAAACGTCTTTATTGTTTTTAATTTTATATGATGTATGCATTAAGGACTTGTTATAATTATTCATAAAGCAAATGGTTATATAAAAATTTAAATACAATATTAAATTAGGATAAAAAACAGAAATATAAAAAAAATGAAAGAAAAGAGGGGAGAATAAGGCTCTGGAACAATTAAAATTCTAAATTACATTTGATAATTGTATTAAAAATACTATGAAACACTATTTTGCCTACGTCTAACATACTGTAAATAGCTATTTATAACGTATTTTTGTCTGCTAAACATTTGTTGGAAAAAATTAGCAATCATGTTAAAATTTTGAGTAAGATGGCTAAAAAACCAAAAACGGGATCATTTTTTGACACTTTTCTTACAATTTTAATGTAATACCTTTTTGTCAACGGATTCGTGTTCAGCAGGAAAAAATACGTTAAAGAAGACTATTACCAAAGAGATTATATAACTAGAGTGGCAAAGCCATCGATTGAACAAGGGTGACGATACGGACATCCCATTTTCTGTCTCTTTCTATGCGCTCACGCAGTCTTAACTGGCTGTTCTCCTCTAGTTATATAACCTCTTTGACTATTTCACTCACGTGACGACAATGAGGTTAAATAGGACGGAAATGACGGAAAATGATGGAGGAAAATTATGATAGAAGTTAAATTATATATGAATAATATTAATGTATTATGCATGTAAAATATACAGGGTGTCAGGAAGCTACCACATCACCCATCATGAACAGGTAGAGCAGATTGAACAGAATCGAAAAATCTTTTACCATTTTACAGTTGCAACAATAGTTAACGAGGTCTTTTCATTATTATTTAATCAGAACTTGAGAACAGAAGTTTAAAGCCATTGCATGTAAAAGTTTTAGTCGTAACCGTATATGATTATGAAAAGGGATAAATTAATTGGCTATAGGCATTAAGTCACGTGATCGTCTTTCCGTTGGTTGGTCAATTTTCGATGGGACGAAAACTTATGACTATAAGGATGCGTTCCGAATAAACGTCTGATAAAGTGATAATACTCATAGAATTTTTTCATTTTAATGATAGATGTGGACACGAAGATAATACGCAGAACGCATCGGTTTAGTACAAAAAGAACTCATGGAAACCTCAAAAATATTATCAAATAAATAAAATATTGGTCAAAAATAAAGGAAAAACAGATTGGAATTAGAAATTGAAGTGGATGATGCATAAGTTTTTTATATACATATATTTATACGTATGTTGTATACATATGTTATAAGCTTAACCTTTCAACAAATAATTACAACAATATTAAAAAACATGTTTGTTGTTGATGCACACAACTTATTGCTCTTTGTATTAGACATTATAAATAAATAAAAATATCATCTTGATTGTAATTTACGATTTAGTGATTTTCTAAACATGCACATACATGGATAATTTTTAATATTAAATCCTAAAATATTTCTATTTTTCTGAAGACACAATATAATGTTTACAAACAGAAATATTTTTTAGCTAGGTATACTTTTCTTCTGACAAGTAGGTATATGTATTTGATTATAATAAATTGTAGATTTTTGTATACATATAATGTAGATGAGTGAGAAATTTTAGATGGTACATGAAATCCACTTATATATTATCCATAGGATACCAATAGAGATGATAGTTTTCACCACTGTGACAAACATACGTACTCTAAAAAAATGCAATCATTATAATATACGTAATAGTTATTTCAATTATATTTCTTAAATGTAAATTATATAAATTATGTTTTGTTATTTAATATAATATGCACTGAAGCTTTTATATAAACAATTTATCTTTTTTCTTGTTATTTTCAATTATTTACATGATACACATTGACACCATCTAAATTGTAATATTTCTATAAA